CTAACGGTAAATCACCATATGCAATTTTCCCTTAGTGTTAAAATAAAATAAACTAAGTGATGACATTTCAAATGACATTTTTTGACGATTTATCTTAGCAACGAAATTGTTTGGAGTATAAGCTCCGCCCACCTCTGTGACGTCAGACTCAGGCAGTCTATTATCTCACAGAACTCTATAAAATAGTAGAAATCGCTTGGAATAAAGGACACAACATCAAAGACTTACAGGACATTCATAACATGGTACATAAATGTAACATCATTAAACTAATATATCTTGGAAAAATCTTGGTAAAGTTGACATTACCCCAGTTTTCTCATCGAATTCAAAAATATCTAAACATTTGTTAAATAATAAACACAACTTTGACAATACGTCATTGAACGGTGTATATAAGATTGAATGTTCAAATTGCAACATGTGCTATATAGGATAGACTGGAAGAAACATCCGCACTAGATTTAAAGAACGCCTAAATAGAGATACTTATATAGACATTAATAATGTAAGTCTGTTGAAAAATATAAAGAAATCGAAAAAACTTGATCTATTTGAGGAATACTTTATATACCGGGTGTCCCTCAGAAGTGGCTCATCCCCATATTTTTTTTTTATTATCAGTGATATAAGAAAACCATTTGGAATGCATAATTAGGCCGTTAAAACGGATTATTACATGAAATAATTCTCTTTGTACTTCCGATTATACCAGATGTGAGTACTAATTTCGCTATTCTTTCAAATCTATAATTTTTTTTTCTTCAGTTGGGTAGACAGCATAATTTCACATAACTTTTACTTGTAAAAATTAATTATAAAAATCACTATAAATTTAGTAGCTTCGGAAAATGTATTACAAGGTAGTTAGGTTAATAGTATAAACTACGCTATGTCCCTCTTGATTTGCTATTTCTCGAGCAGTGATCACTGCTATACTTTAGTCAGTGGTTCTTTTTTAATAATGGTGTAAATTAACAGTTGTATTAAATTAGTTTTAAAAGAAAAACGCGATCAAACAATTAAGTTTAATTCAATTATTTTTGATCTTTCATTTTTTTTTTCTTTATTTTTTGTTCTTTTACACTAAATGTTCTGTAGCTGATAGTAACTTATGTCCATTGTACATTATAATTTGGATTGTTTACTTTATTTTGGTTAAAACCTTCCAGGTTCCCTGACCTCCCTTGACCCTTTAGATTCCTTTCTATGAGGCAAAATCAAAAATAAGGTGTATAATACACCTCTAAGGTCTCGTGAGGCATTAGAAAATAAATTGAGTTAGAAATTGTATTACCCAAATATCTCCGCAGGAATAACGTCGAGTTGTTAGATCGACAATACGCAAGATACAATTATGTCAAAATCGAAAAATTGAATTGAAAAAATTGAAATCGAATTGAAAATTTAGAAAACTAGTTTTTTTGAACTTATAATTGAAATAAATTTAATTGTTTGATCGCGTTTTTCTTTTAAAACTAATTTAATACAACTGTTAATTTACACCATTATTAAAAAAAGAATCACTGACTAACGCATAGCAGCTTAGAATTAGTGACAAGCACTCCATTCCTAAGGTATTGATCGATTACCTTTTCCATCCCTTCAAGGAGAAATGAAGTTAGGCTAATTGGTCTGTATGCCTTGGGGTCGACGTTTGAACGCCTACCACCTTTAGGTATGAAGACCACCTTTACTTTCCTCCATAGTGTGGGTATATAGCTATAGGGACATTATTACTGGGAGCAGGTCTTCTAAGCCTTTTTGCAGAAAAATAGGCAGAATTCCATCTCCTCCAGGCGATTTTAGGGGCTTGAAATAACTAGACGCTTGGTTCCTGGTCTTTACGTTTTTGCTCATTTAACGATTTGTATCGGGCTCGTGTGAGCGTGGTCCGTGCGTTGCCGATGTCGCGCTCTCGTCCATTTCATCACGTTCTGCACTCCCTGAATTCTCATTATGTCCACATTTCATACTCTGTCTCGGATCGTAAATGGCTTTTATATTTCTTAAGGTTCTCATTTCTGCAGTCCTCATTATGACAGGTCGGATACAGCCCATATATATTCGAACTTCACGCTTTCTACACCCATGTATTTATTGCGCGATATTATATCTCTTAAGCAGCCTGATATTCTCGCAGTCTTACTTTCCTGATATCTCAGTTCATTTATTAGCAGTCTGTTGTCCGATTTCTCGATCCCCATATAGTTAAACATCATTACTGAGTCTTATAAATCTGTACAGAATGCGTTGTAGGTCGTCTTCTTTCTCCATTCTCGTCGTCTACGCTTCCAATTATCTAGTCTAGTTCATTATAAGATTAAACAAAGATCGGCTAAGACTGTCGCTGTGCCTTATTGATTTCTACCTGCAGCCATCTTGATTTCTTCACTTGATGATTAAGTCTGTTTTAATTCTTTTTTTTTGTTATCTCTATTGAGTTCCCTTACTATTCTTATGTATTTCTCATTCACATTTCCTTTTCTCAGTAGGTTGGTTGTCTCAAAAAAAATCCTGCCTCTGTCAAAGGTTTGCTTCAAGCCTACAAAACAGATGAACATAGGCTTGCCATCATCAGAGAGAGAGAAAATAACTTTATTCAGCTATCGACAGTTAGCTGAAAGACCCTATTCCGCTTACATTAATTATAAAATAACAGTATATTTATGTTTGTGAATTTATGTTGAGTTCTTCGTATAATGTTTTAGGTCTTTCTTCGTTCGTTCGAGTCTTGCACATCTGATGTAGGGTGTCTTGCTTGGCATTTTTGGAGAATTTTTCTTTCAATATTTTATGCCTCACTGATCCTTATTGTTTGTGTTGTGGAGTGGATTGTTCGGATGTCTAATTTTTGTCAGAGTTCGTAAACATTTCCTTCTGCTTTCCTGATTACTTCCTTTGTTGACTCCGGGGAAGATATACTTTTATAAATCTCTGTCGCCGATTTTACAGAAATACCCCTGCCTTTGTAGGTCAATGATCTAAAATGTTTTGCTCGTCTTGTTATCTGTTTGTATTTTTTTGTAGTGTGCTTTGAATTTCAACTTGCTGTTCAGGGTTATGCCTAGATATTTGACTAAGTTTGTATTTTTTGTAATTGATGTGCCTGTCGTGGTGTGCTGGGATTGATCGGTGATTCTGGAGTGTGGGGTCAATAGTTGGAATTTGAATGGTTCCATTTGTGGAACCGTCATGATATGTTGTTGTATAGCGTCTGGAGTGATTCTATTGCTATTTGAAGGTTTTTTCCATGTAATATTAGTGTTGTGTCATCTGCATATTGAAGTATGTAGCTATCCGGATCAATATAGTTGGTGTCTGAATGGGTTGGAGGGTATATATCATAGCAGTAGACTTTGTACAGGGTAGGTGAGATGGGGGATCCTTGAGGTACTCCTTGGAGAGGGGAGAAAGGGAAGGATGCAGCATTATTAATTTTGATGCTCAGTGTCCTGCCGCGAAGATATTCATCTATAATTTTCAGGTAGGGTGTATTCCTAACTTATCTATCTTGTATAGAAGGCCCTGGTGCAAGACTGTTTCGATGCTTTATTTATGTCAAGAAATAAGATCACGGTTTTTCGGTGATGTAGGTTCGTTACTTGTATGTTATTTGTGAGAATAATGAGTGGATGAATTGTTGATTGTTTCTGTTTGAAGCCGAAATGGTATATAGGGATTTTATCTTTGATAAGGTGAAGAATTAGGATATTAGAAACGCTCCAACCCTGTCATCTTTCAAGACTTGACTTACACATTTCCTCTTCTCCCGTCAAATTGCGATCTTGTAATATTTTACTTCCTTTTCTTCTTTTCTACCTTCTTTCTTTTCTGCTTTGTTACTCTGTGCATTTCATACACTTTTCTTCCCTCCTTTTTGTTGTTTGTTTTTTTTTTTCGCTTTTGATTAATTATGCGTGCGTTAATTACTTACTATTCTGTATATCTGGTGGTATCATTGTAATATAGTTTAGACTGGGTCGATTGGAAGATATCGTCTTTGGCGATAAATCGTTCCGTTTGTCAGAATTGAATTTATGATTTGTTTTCCACTGTCATTGTTATAATCATCTTTGCTTTTTTTTTTTTGTTGCACTACCGCCGCTAATATAGGATAATTATAATAATGTACAATTTTCCTTTGTTCTTTTATGGCAATAAAGTTTGTTTATTATTATTATTATTTAATTCTGGAGTTAAGGATACTTTCCTAGATTTTTCCAATTACAGACAGTAGGGCGATAGGGCGGTAGCTTTGTGGAAGAGAATGGTTTGCTCCAGGTTTGGGGATTGTTATAATTGTAGCTTTTTTCCATGTTGATGGGAATATAAGATTTTGCATGCAGAAATTGAAAATTTTACGGATTAAGTTATGTACTTCTAGGGTTAGTTGTTTCAGTAGTTTTTTGGTTATTAAATCCAATCCGTGGCATGAACTTTTGCCTTTTGATAGGTGTTCATCATATTCTTCTTAAGTTATTTCTAGTATTCCGTTATTAGTTAGAAATCTTGTGTACCATTCGTTAGTATATTCTTGGTGATGATTGTCGTAATCGTGGTTTGGTTTGGGGGTGAACGCACTTTGAAAGTGTTGGGAAAGTATATCGCATCGGAATGTCGCTGGTTTTCTTGTATTTTGTATCCGTTTCTATTTTGCCATAATCATGGTTTATGGACTTACGCCCTTTTCGAAACCACTGATGCAATGACAATTATTTCATTGTTGATTGCAATATTTTTCAATCATAATTGATTCAATTGTTAATCATAATTTTAATTATAACTCGATAAAAACTGCTATTGGATAAAAGTAACTCGTGACTGTGCTATTTCTATTTCACATTATTATGCTTACCCAGTTATTCTATTTGTGTTAGTAAAAAAATAAACGTAATAAATTATTCTTAAATTAAAAAAAAAGTGTACTTACCATGCATCCTATATCTTATTTCTCCATCAACTAATAATCACTGACAGTATATTTACAACAACACTAATCAATCAAAAACCATTAAACCAGTAAAGGTCATTCACCTTTCATGGCTTTTTGGCATTTATTAAAAATACTCCCACAATTTGATAAATAAATTTCAAACACTTTTACTCATAATAATAATGGAACATCCACATACATAAATATTCCACATATAATTTTTTTGCTTAACCAGTATTTACACACAATTTAATAACTCATAACAACAACATTCCATAAAATAAATAACATTAAAAAATTAATTTTTATTACTATTATATTTATTATATTTCTTTTGAATTTCCTGTTTTATTATCTATTGTTACGTGATCGTTTCATTTTTAAAAACTCCACCCCTGTATTAAAATTTGATTCCTTTAACCCCAACTTTCTCACCGCCGATCTTGACCTCCAAACTTTAATTGTATTATCATCCGATGTAGTAATTAACATTTCTGAATCTTTTGGATTAAAAGCTACGGAGTTAACGACATCGCTATGAGGAAATTTGGCTAAACACACCCCATAGTGTCGATCCCATAAATAACCATGTTTATCTTCAGCCCCACTCGCCACGTATTCTTTACAAACATCCAAAAATATGAAAAAGCATTCGTTGTTTGGGGTGTAAGCTTTATGAGCTCTCAACATTGTTCCAACTTGCTTTAAAGTAACTAAATCGATAACGTGGATATCAATTTCTTGAGCTATGGGTGGTGGATCTAATGGATTACTTATGTAATAACCTAGCGGCCATGGACGGCTGTTTACGTATAAATAACGATGATCAGGACTTAATCCCATTCCTATAATATGACCGTGTAAATCAATAACATGATCAACTTTATCGAATTTGTCGGCTACAGCATCGTAATTTAACCAATTTGGTTCTGGAGGTGGTGAACTTGAACGTCTTTGAGCCATTCTTGTTTCATGAATAATAAGTCTTTCACGTAAAGATGGTCCTGGATCGATTCTTGGAGGGAAAGTAAATGGTTTGATGCGTTTAAAACCAATTTGATGGGGAGTATAAGTTTTATAACCAGTTGTGAAAATTAAAAATTTATCTGTTTGAACTGGACCAAAACTATTTGTCGGCGATTCTTTTTCTACATTCGTTGTTGTTGCGGAATCGTCATCACTATCGGAGTCATCAGAAGAATTTTCATCGGAATTTGTCGTATCTGATGATGAAGAAACGCCTTTTTCAATTTCTACTTCTCGATATTCAGGTTTGTACTCTATCGTTGTTAGATAATCTAATGAATCACTTGGAGATTTCCATATTTGGGAGTTTCTCATTGGCACATTTCCTAGGTAATTAACATTTAATTCAAAAACTATTTCTTTGTCTATAAAAAAAAAATAAAATTAACTCACCTTGAGCACTTGCGCTAGGTAAATTAATATCTCTATGACTAACAGGATTTCCGTGTTCTTCTAAATCGCCGCCGGCTTTTTGATCCACTACGTTAACGTTTTTTTGTTGGTTTGCCGTTTCATCTAAATTTTCCGAATTCGGTAAACAATTTGCAACCATAATCGCTCGAATCGAACTCGCATTTCTATTATAAAACTTATACTTTAAATGAGTTACAGGTACGTGTTCGGAATCGATTTCTTGTGATGCTCTGTTTATCCATAAAATCGATGTACTCACTAAATGAGCCAACCATTGTAAATCACCCGATAATAAATATTGATCGCTGTACCAAGTTCCGAAAATATCGTACGGTTTATTTACAACTCTACATCTTAATTCGAAACCATCTAAATATTTTAAATATAAGTTATAATTATAAAAAATTATTTATTGGTACCTTGTAAACTAAAGACTGCAATTTCACCTGATGTACTGTAAGATGAGCCAAAATGAACACCAGAAACCAATAAAAGTGTATCGGATTCGTTAAATTGTGAGTATTGAGTGTATTTCCATGTAAATTCTTTCATATCACGGTAATATTTTATAGTTGTTGGATATGTTGAATTCCAAACCTATATTTGAAGAAACAATTGGTTTTAATATTTACGAAGAAGAAAATAAGATAAAAATCGATTGTATTCTAAGTACTATAATATTTATAATATAACGATATTTTATCAGTGGCGTAAGAAACCGGGAGGAAGATTGGCAAAATGCCAAGGGTAGCAGAAACGAATCTACAGATGAAATGGCAACTTTATTACCCTATTTTCTTTTGATTGAATTTTTATGTTTAATATCAATTTTTAAGAGTCATTGTTAAACTTGTTTAAAAAGTACGGGACGATACACTATCGCGAAAAAGTCTATAAACAATGAGTGATAGAAAAAGTAATGCGTACGATACAATCTGATATAGAAGTACTAGTTTTGATAAAACTAAAATAAATAGACTTCAGAAAAATTTTGACATTTAATCAAAAAAATTTGGCATTTTGCGTGTCCCAAAGTACTCTCCAAAGTACTAGAACAGTGACTCCCAAACTTTTTACTATGGCGCTCCCTTTCTAGCATTATATAATGCTCACGCCTCATAGTGGTTCAGATTGCTATTTTAGCTGGACAAAATGCACAAAAGTGTTTTCTTATAAACTGGTTTGTAACAATTGAAAACTACTTAATGTCTCTATAAATTGACAGGAATCTGCTCGTTTGTTCGGGGTTGTGTGGCAATCGTAGGTAGAAAAGGGTCTACTACAGCCTATTAAATCGTTACATTCATTAGCCCTGTTTATTTCATGCAGAATTCTAGCAAGTGCAGGTCTGTGTTTCTAAAATTGCATCTAAAGGTATGTAAAGTATATTGCAGTACCTAAATGTAAACTTTTTTTTAATATTATTACATCAATGTCATTAATTCATTAAGAAACGAATGATGTAATAATGTAAATTTTACCGATAATTGTCCGCCTTTAGTCAAGCTAATATAAAATTCTCCGTATTCCTCCAACTTTTTCTAAAAATGGTTGGTTATAGTAATTATTCAAGAGTTTAAATAATAATATTTGCAACCATATCTCACCAACTTTATATTTTATTGCAGTTTCTGCAATGGACGACGCACTCACTCGAAGAGCTTTATTCGATGCTTGGCGAAGTGAACTAACCGTTTTCAATAAAAACTATAGTGTCTACAGTTATACAATAAACAAATTAAGACTAGAAGACTGTGATTACATAACCGGATGTGTGCTAAAAGTAACTGACAGATTTTGTGTGCATTTAAAAGACTGCTAGCAAAAATGTCATCATATACTAAAAAATGTTTTAACAATAATTAAATTGTTTTAAACGCGGCTTCAATAAAAAAACCAGACTCCTCTCGTGAAGTTTCATCGCCAAAGGTACACTTGGGTCCTTCAAACAAGCTTTTCGAGGAGGCAAGTGACAAAACAAAGAAAAGACACTTACTACCTGTAGCTGCACACTCAACTTTTGCAGAGCTGGTTTACGCAGCCCAGGTGAGTCCACGCTCAAAAGGAAAAAGCAAATTGCAATTTCCCCAATGAGAACGACAAGAATTAAAGAAGCATATAAAAGTCCTGACAAACCTGTACCAATAAAATTAAACTACAAAACGCGAATAAACCCTTCTTATCACAAGCTTCTAGAAGCAAAGAAAGGTTGTTATCCGGATGGTACAGCTGTCACTGAGATTACTGCCGAAGTAAAGCTTCAAGCTTCTTTGCTTGATCACACTATTCAACGTTTAGTTAGCAGTAACAGTGATATTTTAAAAACGTAGATACAGGCGCCCATTTGACCATGTTGTTCAAGTGGGGTTGTGAGCAAATGTATAGGACGCACATGGGAAATGAACAGCATGATGATGCATTCTTGTTCGTAATTTAATTAGTTCCGCTGCAATTAAAACATAATGAAGCAATAAAATGTGAAAGTCCACGTCCTTCGTCAACACACTATTGTCGACCAATAAAGTTATTGTTTCAGAAAGAAACTGCAAAATTAACTCGAACAGATGTTAGTAAAGAAGAAACAGAAATAAAAGTTCTTTCTCCGACACATATTATAAATGAAGGCAAAGACATATTCGTGGATCACAAAATGGTAATGATAATGATAGACGGAAAGGTCTGCAGTGTTACTGCACAAGAGTCATTTCAAAAGTGTTATATCTGTGGTGCAAGACCTAAAGAAATGAATAACTTGGCTAGACACGCATCAACACCTGTTGATGAAGGGACATTCGTTTTTGGATTGTCTGCTGCACATTGCCTACAGACTTGAAGTTCAAACCTGACAAGTGAGAAAAAAGAACCGGAAAAATGTGGATAAGCGAAAAAGATCAATTGAAGATCGCTTTCGCAAAGAAATAGGCCTACTTGTGGATATTCCCAAACCAGGTTACGGACCAAGTAATGATGGTAACACTCCTCGAAGATTTTTTTCTAATCCATCGCTGTCCAATGCGATCACAGGAATGAATGAGGAACTAATTAAACGGTTTGCAGTTTTATTAAATATAATTGCGAGTAGATACAAAATAAATTTGGAAACATTTGAAGAATATGCCATGGACACTGCTAAGTTGTATGTTCAATTATATAATTGGTATTGCATGCCGGCAAGTGTTCACAAACTTTTAATGGAACGAACATTATTAAATCTGCTCTTCTTCCTATTGGGCAGCTTTCGGAGGAAGCGCAGAAACCGCGCAACAAGGATTGTCGAAGGATTCGGAGAGATGACGGTAGAAAAACGTCCAGAATCACCAACACCGAGGATCTGTTCAATATGTTATTAGTTTCGACAGAACCGCTAATTACAAACTTCAGAAGTCTCGCTCCTAAGAAAATAGAGGATATTTCCGATGAACTAATTTAATTATTAAAAAAGTGATCTCAAGAGCACGAATCTATCACTGCAGAGGAGGAGTCGACAGATGAAGAATTCAGTCTCTCGTGCAGTAGTGATGAAGACTTTTAAAACATTTTTTATGAGTTTTTGAGTATAATTATTTCTAAAAAAGTTGCATTTTTTTTCAATATTAATTTTGTCTACCTAGACAATGAAGAAAAAATACTTACTAATATATTGTACTTCTTATTAACGAGGGTTTGCTCGATTTATGAGGGGTGGTGCTGAATTTCTTCCATAAGATGGGAAATCCTGGGTTGTATTTTTGAAAGTGCACAACGTAGGTCGCTAGCAACATCAAGATTATTCCGTTGTTTGGTCTCAACGTCCAATAAAATAGAAAACCCTTTCTCGCATAAATAGTTAGTCGAGAAAGGTATGTAAAATTTCAAAGCTATTTCCGCGATTAATGGATAATTACGATTGCATTTTGTCCAAAAAGACGTAATTTTCATATTTTCAAAGTCATCTTCGCTGCAGAATTGTGTTTCAAGTCGATTGGTTGTTATTGCATGTGTTCTGAAAGATGGTTTATATCGATTCGCGCTACAGATTCATCCCATACTTGTGAATTACCCATGTTATGTTACGCACAGCGTAATTATAATTTAAATATTGTCTTTGGTAGAAAACATCCGAGTGTGTGGGTGTGAACAACACCTGCTGTAAATCAACACACAAAACTACAAAGTCTTGATTTTGTTTTGCAGTCTCTGCATCCCTATACAAGGTTTCATAAGCTTTTTCGGACTTTCTGTGATGAAGATCAGCTTCTGCAGCAATTTTGTTTCGAGTTTCATCATCTTCGGTAGCAATAAGTTTAATGTAATATTTGTCATACAACTTACAGGCGTCTGATCTTGGGGTACCGAATCTTAAGTCAAAGTATGACTTAAATATGTTTCTATATGTATTATACTTAATAGGTGAGTCTGGGTATTTCTCTATGTACAGGTGAAACATTTTTTGTGTAGAGAGAGATGGATCAAGACATTTTTTCTTATTAGAAGATCTCGAATAATAACTCTCTTGAGCAGGAAAGCTGACAATGTGAGACTTAATTGTATCAATATGAAAATCAGGTATTTTATGAAGACGATTTAGATGAAGGCCTCTTGTGTGAGTGAATGATATTATCTAGGTACATATTCAAATCACACGCAATTTTAATCAAACAAATGTTTAGAAAAGTAACATGAATAGCGTTAAACGCACAAAGCACGTTGTTCCAACCAACCTGACTTAGTCCCGGTTTACCGCTCACTGGTCTTCCCCTTCGATTTATGTGGGGTTTTCCTGCATCTTTTAACATCTTCCTTTTGATAACTATTGGTTCCTATTTTAATGTCTATTTTTCTTCTTTTACCCTTATTAATATCATTTAACTCGCTTGAACTTACGCGAATTGTTGATTGAAACGATGCCATGTCACTATCATAAGTTTGGCAGAGACAAAAACATTATTTCTGCTTAAAACTCTAAAGCAGCCTTCACACGATTAATATATATTGTCAATATGGCCAATAAACATTGACAAACTCAATTGATAAACATTGACTACTTAGTTTTGCGCTGGCAGTCAAAGATGTCATACCGTCAAAAAGCTTGTGTAGCTATTATTTTAGTTTAATAATAAAACGCGGGAGGGAAGAAAAAGAGGATATGGGATAGGGCAGTGGTTCTTAACCTGTGGGTAATTACCCTATGGGCGGTAAAATGTCGAATTGGAACCGAGCCACACTGATTTCTACATTTTTTTGGTAAAGTGGCTTGTAAAATACAAGTTACTACTATTAATTTTGATGCAACTAATGTGATAAAAAACAACAAAAGAAAAATTATTATATCAGAGTGAAACAAAAGATGACACACATCTTGTAATGTAATCAATCGCGTTGACTGGATTGTTTAACTGATTTTATAAAACCTTGCATAGTAGATGCAGTAAATTTTATTGTGGGCGCGCAATATGTTGCTAAAATTAATCAAATATCTCTCTCCACCAGCACAATTCAAAATCACTTGGACGAGCCAACTGACGTGTATGCTTATTCACAATTACTTGCTTTCGTTCGCTACTTAAACGATGATCGTGTTAAAGAAGAATATTTGTTTTCTAAATCGCTACCCACCACTATGCGCCGCGAAGATGTTATTCTCACTCTAAAACAGTTTATTGACGAAAATGATATGGAGTGGTCATAGTTAGTTGGCGTGTGTACTGCACTTCCATGATGGGTGTTCATTCTGGTTTTTAAATATTTGTCAAACAAATTATCCCACAATGCTTAAATTATCATTGCATGATATATCGATATGCCTTGGCTGTTAAGACGCTACCTTCAAATTTCCTGATGGTGTTTAATGAAATTAGTGAAAACTTGCAATCAAATAATTTTCAAAGTGTTATGTTTTAAAGTTGTTGCGAAATTTTTTCACTTGTATTCTACACTAAAGGATATTCGCTGTCAAGGGAAGAGATAGCTTTGTTTTTTGAAAATCGTAAAACAGAAAAGGAGAAGAATGTTGTATACAAAAATAAAGAAACAGCATTTATTCGACTCTATTTGTCGTATTTGACTGACATTTTAAGTGAAATTAATACTTTACATCACTCATTACAAGGAAATATAAGCAATATTCTGATAGCGCAAGATAAGACTGCTAGTTTTTTTGCGAAAACTAGATCTTCACAAACATAGAGTTCAAGTTGGTGATGCATCGATGTTCATGCACTTCTCCGAAACATTAAGAAGAAATATGCTTTTCGTTGATTCCATAGTTCAGCACCTATCTCCTTTGATACATTCGTTGAACCAATATTTCCCGGACAAAGAGAACCGTCAAGCTTTTTCCTGGATATTGAGACTATTTTCTACAGATGAAGAAATCTTCAAAGAGGAAGATGTTTCAGCTAAACTTCAGTTTCTCGAACTACGGAAAGACAATACATCACAAGTGGAATTCCAAAACTGTGATATAGCTACGTTTTGGACACAAATGCAGAGCGAATATTTTATTTTAGCTGACAGGGTTTTAAGAATTCTAATTCCATTTGGAAATACATGTAGATGTGAGAGCGGCTTTTCAACTTTGGTTTCTATCACAACAAAATCTAGGAATCGTGTAATAATTCGGGAATTATTTAATGATTTTTGGGAATAAACCATACGAATTATATATTCCTGGCGTGCAAACTTTTTCTTTTAGAAACAAAAAATCACGCCTCGCGTTTACGACCGACGTCCGGGATGGAGACCAGACGTCGTGACAATTTTGGGAAAAATGTCTAAGCAATTTTATGGGGAAATGTAAATCGTGATAACGAAGATGTCGTTAAAAATAAAACAGACGTTAGAAAACGTAACGTTTGATGGCTCCCACAGTTTGGAATTTCCGTGATGTTTTTTTTGGGATTAGCTAGCGGCGGATGTTATCTTCTAACCCCGTGGTCAAAAATTGTTCCCTTCCCCAAATTCCCTCATTGCCTCAGAAAATTATTGTAAAACATCCGCCCCGTATTTTGGATTGGCCCCAGGTGTCGGGGACATCCAGGCGATACGAACGCCTCAAGAAGGTTTTTGCACCCCTCCAACACCCGAGGTTACTTAAGAGTTTGTAAGACCTTTTTCAACACAATTACAATTCAATTACAATCACAATAGAATCACGATCGAATCCAATTATAATCATACTCTAAGAGATTTTTGAACTTAGAATTCGCTTTAACGCCAATTCTAAGTTTCGTCGCATATCGAGTACTGTGACTTAGTTTCATTTGTGAACATTCTTGCACTTCGGGCATCCCTGTCGTGTCGGTAATGCGTGTCTCCACTGAGGATTTGGTGCGAGTGAGGTGTTGAAACCTTCACGGTTAAATTCCGAGAAACCACCAAAAAGGCTCCAGGTTTGCGATCCATCGAATCGAGGTCGAGTACAAGTCCTGAGTAAGTCTGTTTGCCAGTTTTCGTCATCACCTATCCGTCAACGAGCATTAGCTGTCGGGGTTAGATTCAGAAATATCGCTTTTTAAGTAACGTCGGGTCAAATATAACGTAGATAGTAGTAAGATTCATTTTTGTTCTTATCAATTCTTTCTTTTTTTTTGTTAATACAGTTTTAAGTTTAAGTTTTAAGTGTGATTTCCCTTTTCCTGACAGAGCCTTAGTGCAAGAACCCACGGTTCTCAAATAGTCACCGCGCGCTTGTCAGTTAATTCTGATTGATTTGCTAAGATCAATTAGGGGTCCTTCAGACTAAGAATTAGGGAGCACAAAATACTGTTTCTGGTGGCAGCGGTATCACCAAAGGTTGAGACCGTTCAGAGGCGGCCTCACCACAATCGGCTCAAGGTAGAGCATGACTTACGATGTCCTTTATTAGAAAGTAACTAGTGTATTTAATAATAATAAGATTATTATAGTACTTTATGGTATTTTTTATGCAGAAGTAAATCCCTAGTCCCGGGCAGGTCATAGGGGTAATGATGATGAAAAGGTTAAGAAACACTGGGCTAGGGAATAGCTTCTAAAGAGAGACACGTTTTCTCACATGAATTTGTTGAATAAGGTTCGCGTATCTACTCCAAAAGATTGAAGATTGTCAATCTCTTCCACAGACTGTCAATATTTATTGTCATACCTATATCAAGTATTTTGGTTTTCGTCATCCATCAATACCATCCCATCAATATTTTCAATATTGGCAATCTTTCTACATTTTTCTTTCACATTTTTGTCGTTGGCAAAGCTGTTCGTGCGAGGCATTCGACTATTCACAGCAACTCAAAACACCACCATAAAGCCCACATCTTAATCCTATTGTCAATATTCAAGAAGAATTGAAATATGACGATATTAGAAATATTATCGACTTAAAAATAACGTTGAAAATAGAATGGACTAAAATACCACCTCAATTAACCACTAACCTAGTAATGGGATCGATGCTGAGGTGTCTAAGTGCAATTGTTAAGCAAACAGGTCTCCAGCAAAGTATTAGTGCTATTCCAAATGTATAATTTTCTTAGTGATTATTAAAGTTTGTACTGTTCGAATATGGTTATGGCTGTCAACTGTGATTAAAATTTTGTTAAAATATCCTTTACTGTTCGGTTATCGAACAGCAGAGGTAACTAACATATCTACTTTTGCTTTTACTTTTCTAAGTGAAATAAATCATCAAAAATATTTGAAATTTCTACTACCATTCTTGAGTAATTCGTGATTTTGTAATATTTCGGAGGGTGCTTGAATACGGATTTTGCATACTGTATATTCAAACCCACTCCTTCCATGCCAGGACAATATACCAGCTCAATATAGGGTCTGACTTACACCCGTCGTCAAATGTAACTAATGACAACGATAATACAAACATGGACCAAAAACTGTCAAAATTCCATACCTTTCTAATGAAAAAACCTGCATTTTCTGAATGTTTTGTTAAATTTCCCAATATGAGAGAAACTACAATAAATAGGTATAGGAATGTTTACAGATAAATTGTAGAGAATTAAATTCCCTTTCGGGTAGGCTAATAAAATATAGGGAGTTCCATTTAAAATTTTCGACTTTCTTGAGGTAGAATATGGAGAACCGGTAATTCAATTTTTGACTACCCTGTATAAGATACTTTGGTACAATAAATGACAATCTATTTAACAGGATCTGAAGAGTAATTGTGCCAACTTAGAGCTTTTTTGAATGAACCTTGGCTGCGATATGGGGTTTTAAAGAGCGTGATGAAATTTACAAAAAAAAACTTAAAATCAAAATAACTCGAAAACGAAAGACGCTAGGTACCAATAACTTTTATAAAAGTCAACATATTTTTTTACGTACAATTAAAAGGTGTAATAAAAACTATAGCATTCCATTTAAAATAACGAAGTTATGGTCAACTTTCGGTAGACCGGAAGTGGTAGCCATCTTGAAAATATTTTAGATCGAAAGTTTCGAATGAACAACCTATGCTACCAGAATTTCAAAACTGTACGAATAGTGGAACCTAAAACAGTTCTAACGAACCAGTTACGTTACGTGAGACACCTGTATAATCTCATCCACTCTACGCAACTATTAAGCAATTCAGTGTCAAAGTTTGTTAACAAGTTTTTTTTTTAAATTGGTTTAGAATTATAAAAATACCAAGAATTGCAATAAAAGAGTACAACACAATATTATCTGAAAACATGTTACAACTTCACATCATTTGTATTGTTACGCCACTGAATTTAATACAAATTTATGATGACAACAAAATTTCCTTTAACCTTACTTGCCAAGATTAAAATGAACTTTGTCACCAAAAGTCTATATTTAACATAACGATTTCTATTTTAAATTTAAAACCAAAAATGCAAAATAAAATTGTTAATAATATAGAAAAATATATATGTCAAAAATGACAGATAAACTGTCAATTAAAAATTAATTAAAATTTCAAAATAATAAATTAAAATTAAGTAAAAATATATTATTTGATATCAATATATAAAGCAATCAATGTTGTTAAAAAAATATTATGACTTGTATAAATAATTAAGAAATATGAGAAATTAAAAAATATGTCAAAGTGACAGGTAAATGTCAAATTGATTTAATTTACTTTTTACTATTATAAATTTTAGAACTCTCTAAGAAGTAAACCTTTAACTTACATAGACATATCCATCCTTGGAAGTAGTAGCAAAGTATTTTCCATTATGCGAAAAACTAACATGTAAAACTTGATGTGCATGATCTGTTAAAGTTTCAGATTCCACAATGGGAATATGATAATACAATCTTTTAAACTCCTTAAACCATGATCTCCCTATTCAATATTTATCATTAATTTAACACAATTTCATAAAAGTAGATTTTTACCTCGAGCTATATACGTTGATCTATCAACCATTAAAGTGTTGAAAAGGAGTTCCTTCCATAAGAGTTCATCTCTACTCACCTCGTACCATTTCTTACAAACCAATCCGCAATTTAGGACATCTTTATGATTTAAATAGCCCAAAATGTTCAATACGATTGTTGGCGGTAAATATTCCCATGCTGGTGGAGCGTAAAACATTGTATTTTATTTATTATTTTAAAATATTTATTTTTAGATTATAAAACGATTCACATTGCTAGATAAACTTGTACTGTTTGGTTTTAATTAGGTGCACGTCAAGTCACTGGCATCAACGATCAGCTGGTTTCCATCAAAACAAGGACAAGTTATCCATTATAAAAAATAAGTTCGATATAGGCAAATGTTTTAACTTGGGGGTGTTTAAAGAGTTGCATAGGTTCGATTAAGTGAGGTTATGATAATGTCAAATAAACCGCCAAATTATTTCTGTGTAACAGTTCAACAGGTTATAGTGCGATAAAATTTTATAAGGATAAAGATCTTAATTTTTAATTCATAATAAAGTTTTCATCAACATGTGGGGGAAAGATTCAGGGCGTAAATAATCTAATAGTTTTACTCTTTAAAATAGTCTAATTTTTTTTTGTTTAAGATGAACCTGGTGGTTTTGAGAATGAATCGATGATGAATGAGAGTATTGCACCAACAAAAACTGAAGTAAATAGTATTAATAAATTTATTTAATATTATTGATGTGAAATTCGTTTATTAGGGTGCTGGATCTATTCAAAGTGTTGTACCAATTTGTGTCCGCCAATTAAAAGAACATCCTGGGGAAGATTTTGCATTATTTGGAGTTCAGGTTCAAATGGTAACCATTGTGGGAATCTTAAAAGAGTACGAGGTACAATCCACAAAGGCTACTTATGAAATTGAAGATCACACAGGACAGATTTCAGCTATTTGGTGGTTAGAAGGTGATTCTGTGAGTAAAAATGATCCCGAATTTCTAATTATATTAAAAAAATTGATTTATGCAGACAACAACTCCAAATTTACCTATAGTAAAAGAAGGTTGTTACATTAGAGTTTATGGTTCTATAAGAAAACAAGAAGGTCGCATAAAATTGATGATCCTACGTATGTTCCCTGTTGATGATTTAAATGAGATTACAACACACTTATTAGAAGTAATTCACACAAGATTGGAGGCTGAGAATTTAAAAAAAAATAAAGGAAACTTTAGTATGATTAAAAGAAATAATCCAAACTTTGAATTAGCAAATTCTATGAGCGGAATAGATAATCAAGAGATTACTTTGGATCAATCTGGTCTTAATCCATTACAACAAAAGGTTTATAACATTCTTAAATCCTCCAACACTGCCAGTGGTGCATCTACAGCTAGCGTTTGCCAACAATTCGCCCAAAATCAACATAAAGACGTTAGGTAATTTGAAAAATAATATTAAATTTGTAGGTATATATTAAAATTTTTCTGTTTTATTAGGGCTGCTTTGGAATTTCTTATTGCGGAAGGGCACGCTTATTCCACTATTGATAATGAACATTACAAAGTTACCGAAACTATGTAACTATTTATTTCTTTTTAAGGGCATTTCTAATTTAAAGGTTTAATCTAGATGAAAATATATTTAAGATAATACTATTTTTTATGCATCTATATGTATAATAAATTATATAGTTAAAACACCAAGTTTTTATTTAATTTTTAGGTAAAATTAATATGTACAGGGTCTGTCATGACAAGTTAAGTCTATATAGGGGCTGTTTCTGTAAGTCATGGCATAATTTTAATCACAAATACTGGAGTAAAAATGATGGTGATTCGTGTAAACATTTTTGATCTAAATCCATAAATACCTGAGATATAAGCCATCAAAGTTGAGAAATTTTTAAATATTTTCAATATGGTTTGTCTTAGAAAGATTAAATTAATTAATAAGCGTTTTATTGTTTTTTCTAAATATTTACAATTTTCGCTTTAATACATTCTAATATATATATATAGGTCCAGATTCTCTACCTTCTTCCCCCCTTTCTACACCTTCGCCTCCTCGCTCCCATCACCTCCCTCATCCACCTTTTGCCCTTTGCCCCCTCCCAAAATCTGCTTCCTGTCCATTGCCTTCTCCCTTATATCACTACACCCTCTCAGCATGTGTTCCAGCGTCTCCACACAGCCTACACCACCTCTCTACATCGTCCGCCCAATACCTATTCCCCCTCCCCTCATTGCCACAGCGGAATCTAGCCACCACTCTTCCCTTCATCAACAAATACTTTGGCAGTTCCTCTGTCACTATCTCCCCATACCTTTCATTGTATCTCCCTTCTCGTATCCCTATCTCTCAGTTCTCTCCACATTTCACCCCTTTCCGCTCTTCTGTTTTCGATCCCAGTTAGTGAGTATCCCACTCTTCATAATATTCTTCCCTGTCTCTTTGCCCATAGATCAGGCTCCTCTCCTTAATTTGCAATGCGGTTTTGCTTCTATCATTTTCTCATGCTTCACTGCTCTATTCATTTTGTTCTTCATTCGTTGTGCTTCATTCACTGCCTTTTTCAAGCCAATTTTTGTTTGATACTTTGAATAAGTCTCCACAAAGATCAACATACGACAAGTATCAAAATTTGAAATCTGTATTAAGAACGAAAACGGCTTGCCCTGAAAACGAACAGAAAGAGTTAAATTTAATTTTATCTCTTTATGTCGGAATATCAAAAAAGATGGGACGCTGTGTCAAGGAAAAAAGGCATTTTTAAAGAAAAATCGTTCTTGGTTGGAGCAAACAGTGGACTTTCCAAATTATGCCTTTAAATCCAAAAGTACTGGACGACCTAATTTGGATTTTTCGGAAAGTTCTGATCGCTCAAAACGTCAAAAAACCCAACACTTACGAGATAAATATTCAATGGATAAGTTGAGTTATGCTACTCAAATGAGTTTAAATAGTTGTGGGAAAATAGAATCTTCAAATGTGATAAAAGAAGTATAAAATAGCGTACAAAAATTTTAAACAACAAACGACTACAGAAACAACTGTCAGGGGAAGAGGCATCGGCCATGATAGTTGATGCAAAGTTAAGCAGACATCAGTACTGTATTATAAAGTCAAAGGATATTAACAAATTTCCATCATACAAAATTATACAAGAAGCTAAGAAACTTTGCTACCCCACTTTGGAACAGGTATTTGTATGTTGTTCCTTGGAACAGTTACTAAATTTAAAAAACAACAGGTATTTTGTATTTTATACTAGTTTTGTAAACGTTATCGATTTCTTCTCTACGTTACTTATTATGCGGTATGGGGAGGAACAACAAAGATTTCATGTATTTTTTTGTAACAACTGTTATCAATTAAACTGATATTGGAACGTATAACTCATTTATAGTAAAGTTAAATTTACCTTAATTTACTGACCTATTTATTGTTATACTGACCATTAAGTTTGTTATCCACTAATAATTATTAATTAAGCAAATAATTTTAGTTTAATTTAATAATATTATAAGGATTAGAAGAATTCAAAAAGGCGCTTCATTTAATCTTTAGAAAAACAAACTATTTATTTATCACGGTGAAAAGCATCTAAATCAGACTTAACTGAATTAACTGCACTTTTGTTATAACAATATCTTTTTATATATATGGTGTCTTTACATTATTATCTTACAGCAGAAGTTTTACGTACCGAAGCGGCTTAAATTAGTTATTTCCCCATCTTATTTTTATTTTTGTAAAAATTCGTATAGTACACTTATTACCAAAATAGAAACTTATTACAAACAAATTTTAAAATTTGTTACTCGGAACGGTTCAGAAAACCGAAAAAAATGTTATTTTTGTTGGAATGAAAATCGGAGTTGAACCGATATATCTTTTTAATTAAGACGAAAAAATAACACTATGAAGCCCAGGTTTTATCGGTAAGTCTACTGTACTCAAACTAGTATTACATATAGGCACAGGTTAAGTATAGTATACCTCATATACTAATGTATAACGGTTGGAACAGAGAAACCATTGTAACAGGTATTTGGAACTGTTACTTTTTAAGAATAGAAACATATTGTACCTGGGAAAGACTTGGGAATAAGAATAAATGGGCAATGGTTGAACAGGCTAAAGTTTGCTGATGACATAGTACTTATAGGAAAAACAAAACAGAAGTAAGAAAAATGCTAGAAACAATATCGAGAAGAGGACAGCAAACTGGTCTGGAGATAAATATGAGCAAGACAAAAGCAATGTACGTAAATTGTGAACAAAAAAATAAATTAATGGTTAATGGAAAGGAAATCGACAAAGTAGAGATTTTCGTATATCTCGGACAAAAGATTACAACTAAAAACACAGGAGAAGAAATAACACGGAGAATGGCAATGGGATAGCAAATGTTTAACAGATACAAAAATATATGGAAATCAAATATAGAAATGGAGAAAAAGAAAAAATTGTGGGAAATGTGCGTCCTCCCTGTCATGATTTATGGATGCGAGACATGGATATAACAAACAAAATCATTGAAAAGATTAGGGTAACAGCAAGGGCAATGCATAGAAGGATGATTGGCATTACGAAGAAAGATAAAAACACAAAAGAATGGATAAGGGAAAAGACAAATAATGAGGATATTGGAAAAATAGTATTGGACCGAAAATGGAATTGGGTGGGTCATATTATAAGAGTAAAAGATAAGAGATGGGCCAAGAAAATCTTAGAATGGTACCCAATGGACAAAAAGAGAAGAAAAGGAAGACCAACTGCCAGCTGGGAAGATGAGTTGTGGAGGAGTAACATGGCACAGGGTAGTTTGGGGCCGACAAGAATGGAATAGAATGAAGGAGATATACATGGAAGTATGGCTTTACACGGACTAAATATCACGAGCATACGAACTCAGTCCCATTATGGGAATGCCACGGTTAACACCGAAATAGTCACCAAAACAAACAAGAGTGAAGATGAAATTTTAATTTGTTAAATTTTGATTTTGATTTGTTAAATTGTATTATAAATGAAAGGTTAAGTTTACAATATTAATATTAATTTTGTGTTAAATGTACAAAGGTTATATGAGTTCTTTCTTTTTGTTGGTGACTATCTATTGTCTAAACAATAGTCTGAATTAAAGTTGCTCTAAATGTAACGTTATCTCCTTTTCTAGAAAGAGGAGTACTATCTACTACAAGTATGCGGTTGTTGGCGAGGTTCTCACCCGTATATCATTCATTAAGGATTTAAAGGGTATTATTCTCAACAATAAGCTATAATTTGACATACATATATATCAATTTGATGGTATCCAAAGCCTTGCGAATGCTATGTTTTGTAATCCATAGCTTCTTTTTACTGCTATCAAAATACTAAAATACTTATGTTTTAAGTGCTCAATACAATAGTCTGACTATGACTGAATATATCTTCTTTAAGCTTCTATATAATATATGTGATTCTCCATCATTCCTCCAGTAGTATTAATATGCATGTTCCCCCGTTTACTGTGTTTTGACTTTTTGTTTTTTAGTCAGACCACTCGAATCAACACTTTCCAGAGTTCCCCCATGCTTTGAATGGCCAATACTGCAGATACATTATTTCCGAAAATATTTTCGGTATTCCCCGAGCTGACAATACGATGTATAATACAAGAGCTAGGTAGTTCTAGGTTTAATTGTAATTCCGAGCTAGATTATTGTATATTTTCATTGAACTAACACTAGAACTAGAAACATTCATGTTTAGCTGTATGTCTCTCAAGATGGGTAAACTCCAATGCTTCTAGTTTTAGGTCTAGTGTTAGTTTTAGTTGTTGTTCATCGTTAGATTGTTGTATATTTTTCATTGAACTAAAACTAATTGATAAAGAACGCAACGGTATAGATAGCTATTCGAAATTGAAATAGAGTGCAAATTAACAATTATTCATATAATTGAATAATTATCTTTTTTATATTTTTGGTTATTCTGCATACTATAATTATCATTTTTGTTACTATTACTTAACTGCACTGTTGTTGTTTTTTTTTGTTATTCTTGCTGTGATACGGTTTTATTAGGTTCGTCCTGTACTGTACCAGATTTTTAAATAAATAAATAAAATATTTTTACATATTTTATTCATCACCTTGATTTTAACACTTTACATTATAATGTACCTTTTTTTAAACTCGCAAAAAAATAAAGTACTCACTTTAAAAAGGAAATATTGAAATTGATTCCAAACAACCAAAAATAAATACACCAAATTAAGTAGAAAAATTGTAAAAAACACTATTTTTTACATTTCCGTATTGTATTAAAAAATAAAATCAAAAAAGGAATGGTATTTTTCTTTAAGATGTAGATTAATACGTTTTTTTCTTCTTTTTTACAAACATCTCCCAAATAAATACAATCACCACTTGTACAAATAAATTATGTACACACAAATCCACGCACATTTAAGAGATCTTTTTTATTTATTTACGATTTTACTAAAGCACGCGGAAGATTTCCTTCTCCAAATATCCACAAACATAATCTGTCCACTAATAAAGAACAGAAAAAGTCGGCGAATAATATTTGAAGTAAAATCATTCGAAACTGAAAACAAAACAAAATTAATAATTACAATAACACAAAGAGAAAAATTCTTACGTCTTCTTCAAAGTCTATTATTTCAAATTGTGCCGCTAAATCAGGAAGTAAACCTAAAGTTAAAGCTAATACAGTTCCAGCTGAACCGACCATACTGTAAAGTAAAGCTTTATTTTGTGTAAGCCCTTCCATAAAGGGATGACCCTAAAAAGATTCAAATCAAATTTTAATTTTATAAAAATAATAAAAACCCACCCTGTAATTAATCGCAAAAGTAGCTATTTGCAAAGCCATAGAAATAATATAAACCGTACTATTCACTATATTTGGTACAAAGGGTTCTTCTTCACCTTCATCTGTACTCAATTTAACCGTACTTGTTACATTTTCATCGCTTTCATCACTTTCATCCCTAAAAATAAAACCAAATTTTAAGAAAATCCCAAAAAATAAATTAAATTTAACTTACATTGGTAATCTTAATTTGGCTTGTTGTACCAAAAAAATTAAACAGATGAAGTGAACGGCGAATTGTAATAAAACTGTTAAGATCGTGTAAGAATTAAAAATGTTTGGAAGTGGTCGTTGCGTCGATAACGTTTTTAGCGGTTTCGATCTTGATATAAATAAGAAACACGTCGCTAAAAGTAAACCTTGCAAAGTCGCTTGCATATCCGTTAATTTAATTCCATCCAAATACAATACTGATTGGGTGTAAGCCAAAATTAATGCGTTTAAAGCTAAGATTTTAAACATTTGTAATGTTGTTACTAATGTACATCGACCTTGTTTTATTATATGACAAACTAAAAAGATACAAAAAAAAATAGTATTAAACAAAATAAATGTTTGTGGGAAGCAAATACATTTTTAAGCATCTCAACGTTATTAAATTGTTACTATTGAGTCTGTGACGTAAGAAAATGTCTTTGTAGAGACTGGCAATATAACAGAGTCATTATTTAGCCTGTGAATACCAAAACATTGTCATAATTAAGTTAATCAATGTTAACAATATAAATTGCCTATCAATATTAATTTTCATTGATTAGTCAGTCAAGATAAATTAACTGGGATGGTCTACATTCAACTTACTTTTTTTTATATACAGATTAATAAAATTTGCAAAACGTCCATTGATGGAAAATTTAATTAAAAAAAAACTCGATAAGTCGCTTGAAGATACCATGTATTTAAAGTTTACCCAAAGGCATAGCTTACGCAAATCCGTGTCAAGACCATTGATATGTGAAAAAGTCCTTTGCTTTAATTAACAATTCCTGGTCACTTTAAAGCTAGTAGCAGATGGCTACAAAATTTACAGTTCTGTCGTAGTATCTTTCACAATCAAATTATTGAATTTTGTATGTAATAGTAGTTTTGCTAGAGAAGATGTTTACAACTATGACCATTGACCAAATCAGGATAAAATGGAAAACTCTACCTCAAAAAAAACTTAGCTTGCCATCGAGGAAAAAGCTGCTCCAGGTATTAACGTAAGTAAGAAGCGAATTACAGCGATGGTTTGGGCAAACACTAGTGATGACCATGGACTGCCTCTATTAGGCATTGGAAAAAGTAAGAAACCAAAGTGTTTCAAGAACGTTACCGAGCTTCCAGTAACTTATAGAAAAAGGAAAGTGCCTGGATGAATAGTAACATTTTTACAGACTGGTATAAAAATATGTTCATACCAAATGTGAAAATTTTTCAAAAGAACTTCAAGGAAAAGTGTTGCTAATCATGGACAATATCTATACATCAACGCACATGTCTGTTGAAGTGTTAAATTCGATCGTCCGTTGAGCTTTCCAAAAAACTAAACTCAAAAGATTAGTAGTTCTACATGCTACTCTATTAGACTTACTTATTACAGAAAACCGCCAAAAGGAAATGGATTGAACAGCTTTGGCCTGATAACAAAGACATTGGAGAATAAGAGCATGAAAATGAATGCTCAAATGTTTCCATTTGAAAGTATAAAAGTATTGAAAAAATTGTGCCAGTTATTTTTATTTTCATGATTGTGACGAATCTGATGTTGTAGAATGGTTGGATATGGAGAAAAATTATCTAGGCCAATCTAGGCTATGAAATCCTTGATGACAATGATTTTATTACCTTAGTTACAGTGTCTAGAGATCAAGAGGTCACTTTAAATGACAAGGATCTTGTGGTGACAAGGCGGCAGTTATGAAAGTCCTCAATTGCAGGCTGAAATGTTCACAACATTTGGTAACATAATTTATGGTATATCTGTTAGGTTCCTACACCTACAAAGACACATGCATGACACGGCAACATGAGTCAACGCGAGTCAAAATCATGTATCTGGAAAAACCTTGTTAAAGGTTGTCCTCTTGTGGGCGCTAGAGGCCTACATGAGGGCTGGATAAGAACACAAAGAAAATTGGAAGGTGTTGAAGCGACGACTGATTTGTGTTTTTCTAATATTTTAATTAAACTAATTAAAGTATAAAAGTGACCAGTTTGATTGTATTTAAATTAAACAAATAATTTAGTATGCCTTCGGTATGAAAAACGCATCCAGAGAAGAAGCAACTATATTAAAACTTTTTTCAGTGTCGTTCCAACCAAGGAGAATGAAGTGCAATTATCCAAAGACCAGTCAATTCTCAATTCAATTAGATGAGTCCACTTTACCAACTAATGAAACATTGTTGTTGTCATACACGAGATTTATTGAATATGACAAAATGTGTCAAGAATTATTATTTTCTAGAAATTTAGAAACTGATACAAAAGGAGTAACCATATTTAATACACTGGAGAAGTTTTATGACAAAGAAATTTCGTCGAAAAATATTTCATCACCTGCTACGGGTGGCGCTCCGGCTATGACAGGACTAAAGTCCCTAGATTTGCAAAGTACCGCGGTTCATGACGCCTGTTTCCGAGCCAAAATGGCCGTTTGATAAATTGTCACTGCATCACCACTTATTTACAAAAATATTGCCGTCTTGTTGCCTTTGGAGTTGCAAAAATAGCAGTAAGAAGGGCTTTCGAATCTTAAGAGTACCACGAGAAAAAAGAAAGTAGTTTTGGCGTAATGTTATCAATAGAACGACATAGTTTTAAATTTCCCGCTTGACTTTCGAGCCAAAATGGCGGCAAACCGCGGTACTTTGTAAATCTAGGGACTTTAGACAGGACGCCACAAAGGCATTAGAGCGCACTTAAAAAATAAAGTTTGGGAAAAAACCTTATAGGCAAAGTGTGCAAGAGAAATAGCTGGAATTTATTTTGAAGTTCGTAATTCGACTGCTAGGGAGGTAACTGCCATAGAGAAACATTAAATTCCCGCTATCTCAGAAAATTACACGATGAGCTACAATATAAACCTAAAGCGAGCCGTTCGGTCCCTACTCCTAATGCTTTTCGCCCCATCAGCCTGACGTCATTTCTGTTGAAAACCATTGAAAAAGTTCTGGAACGGTATATCCGTACGGTGCCACTGGTATCTGGTCCACTGACTCGCCACCAGTATGCTTATCAAGCGGCAAAATAAGAAGAATTGGCTCTACACAAATTGGTCCAGGATAAAGAAATCTTGGTTTGTGCGTTTCTGGATATAGAAGGTGCGTTCAACAACGCAGTACCACAATCTCTTGAAAGAGCTGCTCTTGGCAGTGTGGAAGCAACTATAGCGGGTTGGATCCGCAATATGCTTGATAGTAGATTAGTTTCTAGTTCACTCCATGGTGACACGTTACGCTTCAGGCAGGGAGGTGGCTGTCCGCAGGGAGAGGTGCTTTTTCCCCCTTGCTTTGGTCCTTTCTGGTTGACAATCTGATTGCGATAGTGGAAGACGTTGGTGTAGAAATACAAGCTTATGCTGATGACATTATCGTTACGGTCAAAGCAACCTGTTTGCCGAAGATATTCAAAGTGCCCAGTCCTGGATCGAAAATGAAGATTCTCTGGTTCAGGCAGATATTTGCATGTTCATAGATGCATCAAAAACGCTGGAAGGGGTCGGAGCAGGAGTATACTGGCAGACACCTCGAATTAAGCAAGCTTACAACCTGGGTACGTACTGCACTATATTCCAGGCGAAATTATTTGTTATTGCAACAAATGCATTGTTTATGAGTATCTATCTGTCAAATTTTGAATCATAGTTGTAAGTGTTAGTGCTTATCGTTAGAGTATTACTTAGTTGTCATCAACTTTCAAAATAATGTCATATAAAAATTATGAAAAATGGGACATGATGTTTTATACAATCTGGGGAGAATGGAAAGACTGCAGGAAATTTATATCATGAACGATATCCAAAGAAGCGGCAACCTTTTAATGATATTTTTAGAAAATTGTGATATAATCTACAAACTAGCGGACAATTTGAAAAGAAAAGATCAAAACTTATATACCGAATAAAGACGGGGAATTAGAAGAAGTAGTAGTTTTAGGGGCAATGGAAAATAATCCACAGATATAACGCGGCAATTGAGTGTAACCACAGTAATTCCAAGAACCAAACCTAGGCGGATTTTGAAAAAATTCAGATTTAAGCCATACAGAACTAGCAAAATTTAAACTATATAAAAAACTTCTTACTTGCTTAATATCAATTTATTCGGAACCGGTTTCTATATAAAATTAAACTTCAGAAAGATCCATTATACTTAAAATGTACAGAACCTAAGATTTACAAACCTATTCCTTTCAATAATATTACATTACAATCCAAAAATATTTTTTCTAAGTATAATATATTATTGGCTTTTTCCAATAATAATTCTATTCTGAAATTACTCTCAAATTGTCATATGGAGAAGATAGACACTCTTGACAAATGCGGTGTCTATTCTATAGAATCTTCTAACTGTGATGGAATATACATTGGACAAACAGGAAGAAGATTAGGCATACGAATACAAGAACACAAGAATAAATGTAATTCAAATGTTTACAGACATCACTCTAACACAGGACACATCATAAATTAGAATAATGTTAAAATCATTCATAAATGTAGTAAAGGCCAAAAAATGGACTTACTAGAATAATATGAAATTTATAAATTCAAGAGAAAAAACAAAAAAAAAAAATACATTATTGAATGATCAAATCGACATTGAATATAACCCTTTATTTAAATATTTAAAAGATTCTCCTATATAGTGTGTTGCGAATTTTGTTATTTATTGGTTATATTTTTTATTGTCTGTAATTTTTCTGAAAAATTCATATCGATTTCGTTTAGGCTCTTGTATCCGGTTTTATTTTTCTGTTTCATAGTCGTTTTTCTCGTGCTCATATCAAGTTTTGTTTCGTTTTTTTAAAAGTGTTTTAAAATATTTTATCTATACAATTTTATTTATACACTGTGTTTTTAACTTTAATTGTTCACAATAACATACATCATTATTGGTTGATATATTTCAATATGTATTCTTTTCATAATTTTTGTTTTAATGACGTCGTGAGTCTCTTTTTAACTATTTGACAGTAAGTTTATGATTGTAATACTTTTATTATGTTTTTCATTATATTTAATTGATCATAATGTAATTACGTTTACGTAGATTCGGCTGATGATGGGCTAAGCTCGAAACCGGTTCCGAATAAATTGATATTAAGCAAGTAAGAAGTTTTTTTTTATATAGTTTAAATTTTAAATTTAAAACTTGCAACATGAATCCCAAACATATAGAACTAGCAAAGTCCATCACCTCAGACCAGGAGATTTTGAACGGCGCATGAATTTTTGCCAATGGCTCTTGAGAAAATATGATGAAGCACGCAATGTTTCTTTAAATTGTATTTCGACAGATGAAGCGTATGTGAGTAGTGCTGGTGCACAGCATAAATAAAATATTTGAACATATTTAGGCAACAAATCGAACCTGTTGTTGACGATTTACCTCTAGCGCACTTGCGAAATGTATTTTTTCATCATGATGGTGCACCACACATGGTGCGTCTCACAATGCTGCTATTATCGCTATTCGCTGGGCGGCTTGGTCACCGGACCTAACACCTATGGATTTTTTCCTTTGGGGAAGATTGAAAGATGTTATCTATAAACAGCCAATAAGTTCCCAACAGCAATTAGAAGCCGCAGTTGTGAACGCTTTTGCAACACTTAGGCCCATTGAGCTTATCAACTCGGCAAAAAGGGCTAAAAAAAGATGTCACACAGTCGACATCTTTTTTTAGCCCTAACACAAACCATTTTAGGGATATTTTGAACATTTTCTATAGAACAGGGGTTTACTTTTGTTGTTATTTGTTGCCATGTATGTATTCTTGTTTTATAATAAGATAAGTTTTATTAATTTAATTTGCTTTTTGTTTATGAGTTTGTTTTAATTCATTGTAACCAACTATCTTGATACTACTTGTAAATATAATCTCGTTTTTCTTTTATTTTCAAAGCCTACTTTTTCAAAATCTAGACATATGAATTTTAAAGTTGTATATTTCAAAGAAGACTTGAACGAAATATCAAGTGTGCTATATTTTTGGAAAGGAAATTTTATGCTCTCGTCGAATTAGCAAAAATATATAGGATGTTCCATTTAAAAAAAATCATTTGTATGTCAATAACTGCTAAAATATTGCTTTGAGGGACAGCTAACTTATTCCATCGAATTCTACATAAAAAGTTGCTTTGGAAATGTTTTCACAGAAAGGAAGATTTATCAATAATAAAAAAATGTTATGACGACTTTTCGAAAATGCACTTTTTTGAAAAACACCTGTATCTGTGAAACCGTAAGAGATATCGATATGCGGTTTTCGCCATTAAATTTCTTATAAAAATCGAGACACTGATATCATTTTTCCTGTATCTCTTATAGAAATAGGAGTTTCCCTTTAAAAGTGCCAAATTTGGCCCACCTGTACAACCAAAAAATCATGCTTCCACCCAAGAAGCGTTATTAGGCTAATAATGAACTTTAAAAACATTTTACATACAGTATAAAAAAGATACTTACTGCACATTATTGATGATAATTTACTTGTAAACGGGGAGGCAATTGAAGCATCACCCAATTTAACAATTTGTGCTTTCTCTTCTTCTTCTAATTCTTTCATAAGTTTTTGTATATTATCTTGAATACCTTCAGGAGTTCTCATTGGTCGATCTTTAGGTCTGGCAACTTCCCGAAGTTTTCTTTCCCTTAAACTTTTCTCACTATCTTTCGATTTATCTTCTTTCTCAATTTTTTCTTTCCTAATTTCAGGCATTCTTTCCGGCGCATTTGAAAGAATAGCAACACCAACATCCGCATGTTTTAAAGCACCCACATCGTTTGTACCATCTCCGCACATTAACGTTGTATAACCTAACGATTTTAACTTAAGAATAACAAATTCTTTTTGTTTTGGCGCAAATCTCGCATAAACCATAACATGCGGGAGGATTTTGTATAAAAGTTCATGATAATTTTCTTTTAAATAATTCAAACCATCACCGGTTATACAAAGATTATTTTTTTGAATAATTTCGTTTATGTTTTCGGTTAAATCAATTTTCGTTTTTTGATCAATCGATTCCCAATTCCATTCGTTTTCCGTTTCTTTTAAAATTAAAGTCGTTTGTTTTTGAGTAAATTTAAGTTCTTTGGCGACGTGACAAGCTGTTAAAGGATTATCCCCGGTGATCATTACAACTTTATGACTCGCGTTAATAATTTCTTTAATAACTGCTTTTGAATCGAGTTTTAACGGGCACGAAATTATTACAAAACCGACGAATTTTAATTTTTGTTCGATATCTTCGCGAGTTAAATCTCTTACTTCTTGAGTAGATAATTTTCCTAACTCTCTCCAGCCTAAAGCTAAAACTCGAGCTCCTCTTCGCGATAAATCTAAATAAATTTCATCGTAATTCGAGGGAAGATCGACGTACATTTCTTTTAGAACTTCCGGTGCGCCTTTTACTGTTACTAAATAAAACGTTTCTAAAGATCCTTGTTGAGTGTATCCGGTGATAACGGACATTCGTTTTAGGGCGGACGAAAAATGATTGCGATGAAAAATTTTTAACGCCGACGCTTTACCTTTTTTGGGGATAACAGCGTCGGATTTCGTTAAATTCCAATCGACGGCTGTTAAAGTTGCCTTTTCTAAAGGATCTCCCACTAAACCCTCATCTAAATGTACTAAAGAGTGACAAGTTGCTAAAACTTGTATTGAGTCTAAAGGGGCTTCATTTAATGATGTGACTTTATTTGTGGTAGCCAAAGCGATTCCTTCAACGACTAAATCATCGCTTGTGAGAGTTCCCGTTTTATCAAAACAACAAATTTCGACTTTTCCAGCAAAAGGGATTCGAAAAGGTTCGGTACAAAATACACCTAAACGAGCTAGAGCCAACAAAGATGTGTTGACTGCTAAAGATAATTCGATAGGTAGTTCTGGAGGGATTACAGATGTTAAAATTAAAGTGCATTCTAGGAAAAGTTTGTAGCGATTTCGCTCTGGATCTTCTGAACCTTTTACCCAAACATACCAAGCAGCAGCAATCGCGAAAACCAATAAAAATATTATAAAACCAAACGTTTCCAAGTTATTTGCTGTTACCCTTTTAACCCCAAATAAAATTGTTCTTAATAACTTTCCTTGTGAAGTATTAAACCCTGTCCTTAATACATAAGCTATGCAACCATTATCAGGGGCTCTTAACCCTAAAGTGGCTTTAGAAGGAGGTGTGTGTTGCACAACTTTTGTCCCACCAAATAAAACATGAAGTTTCCCATCACTATCCATGTCTAATTCCTTTTTTAAATCAAAATTTTCAATTGCTTCTTTCATTTGTGGGACAGATTCCCCGGTTAACATGCTTTCATCAACAATACAAGGCCCTCGTAATAATAAAACATCACAAGGGACTAAATTATCGTTTTGAGATCGTGTTATTGAAATAATATCCCCTGGGATTAATTTATCTGTGGCGATAGATCTCCACTTTCGATTTCTATAAACCATAATGTTGTAAGGCTTATTCCCCATTTTCCTTATCTCAGCCATGTTCCGTAATTGCTGTTGCACCAAGGTGCACTCAAACAAGATTAACATAACTAAGGTAAAGATGGAATAATACCAATATTTATCCAAACACCATAAACCTACGCAGAAAACTTGGAACACAAAAAACGGAGCCGTTGCGCGCTCTTTAAAGAGTTCCATAAACTCAGGAACGACCATATCCAGATGATTTCGACCATAAAATTGTTCCGCGTCCAAAACGTCGCTTTCTTCTTGATAACCCTTCCATTGTGCATATTCCGAATAGGTTTTATGAATGGGAAATTCAAGACCACGAAATTGCTTCTTATCCGCACACCAAAAGTATTTTGTTTGTTGAAACACAAACCAAATGTTTTGGTTGTCTTTTGACCGTCTTAATTGAACCAATTCAGACGAACCATTATTGGCAGTTGGAACTACTTTTGCTACAGTAGCTTTTTTAGGATCTTTTTCCTTATAGAAAATAAAACATAAGTTAATAAACATAACCTCACTTAGCCTTTTCTTTAAATCTTACCGCTTTACACGCGAAGAAACAGTTAACGTGTACAGACCAGTAACATCCTAGACAGCATAAAACCTGAAGGCACCCGATGGCAGCTAGTCCGACGAAACCCCCTTCGTAGAATTCATTAAAACCGTATACCCCGCACCACGTATACAACCATGTACAGTATAAAACGACGAACGGTATGACATAAAGATGAAATAATGTCGGGTAAATAGTGTAAAGGGTCACCGAGTGCACTAAATCGTCTACTTCTATTAACGGGGGCATGTTTTATTTCCAAATTTCTGGAAATTTTAAGCCTGGTATACAGGCCCTGTACACATATGCAACACCTGTGACAGCTCGTGGTCTTGATTTGACAGGTAGTCACGTGATTTTATATAAAGATGTCATCGAATATGGCAGAAATAAATCAATTCAAATTGAAGGATAATTCAAGTTTAAATTAATTTTTTGTATAAATTGAACTTCATGATTAAGCACAACTTTTTTTAAAAAGACATTATATCATTTATTTAAAACAAAATATAAAATAATCTTAAGAAAATACCCCAAAACAAATTAACAAATAATCAAGTATTTTTAAATGATCTATACAAACTGTCATATATATTTATTACTTTTATTTATGAATTACAAATTTTAACATAAACTAAATTTTTCATTGATTTAATATAAGACATTTAATAAAATGTTAAAATATTTAATAAATAAATAATAATTAGAATTATTCATTAGATTAATAAGTTTTTGATGTTAAATCAGCGCCATCTACACTTAAATTAACCTCAACTGTATATTTGAGGTTATGTTATCTTTCAAAAGTATTTTGAATTAAAAATAATTTAATATTTTGAATTAATATGGAACAAAACAATGATTTACCTAGTTCTAGTGCCCCTACAAAAGAAAATAACTTTACCAGGAAATTAGTTTGTATAAATTACCCCGGAATTGTTGAAAACGTTGATAAAATGCTTGATACATTGGGAGGACTCACCGAAATTGAGAATGTATGTTTATTTTTTAGAATAATTTCAAGCTAATGACTGAATTTAGGTTGTGGGTGAACGAAATCGCTATTTAGAGTTGAGATTTAGACCAGAGGATAAGTTTTGTAAACCAGCCTTATCAGAAACTGATAAAAAACCGGGAATTTTGGTTAAAGTAACTAAAAAGGAAATAAACGGAAAAGTTGATTATAATTATGAAGTTTTGGGTGTTAATGCTTTATCTTATTCTTTTAATCGTAAGTTAAAAAGCAATGTATTAACAAAAACAATGTTTTAATGAGTTTAATTTAGGATATTGTGACTTCCAATATTTACCGTTAGTTACGAATGAAAAAGAAACTAAAGAATGTAAATTAAAATATATTTATGAAGATTTATACCCAAAAGAAATTCCTTCTGAAGATTGGCTAACTAAAGATGAAGTTAAAGATATGCCCCCTTTTCTTCCACCGGGAGTATTTTCAAGATTTGATTATCAACAACACAACAGCATGTTTAATAAGTATTCTTAGTTAAATTTTAATAAAAATATTTCTTTTAATTCTATTTTAATTTCAGAAAGCCATCGAATTTATTTCCATTAAGACAAAAAGGTCCCCGTCGTAATGTTATCATGAGTTTTGAGAACGAAACCATTCCAGAAGCACCACCAGAAGGTGTTCTTGAATTCATCAGAATGAAACCAAGCATGAAATCAAGTTTTGAAGAAGTAAAGAAGTTATTCGATGAGCGTCCAATTTGGTCAAGAGCAGCTTTAATGTATTTATCAAAAATGCATGCTGAACACAGTAAATTTGTTTTACCAGGGATCGCTTATTTCAATAAGAATGGCCCATGGAGAAGTATGTGGGTTCGTTATAATTACGATCCAAGAAAAGATCCCTCAGCTAAAATTTATCAAACTTTCGATTTTCGTATCAGAGCAACATTTGGTCTTAAAGAAATTGTTAAAAATAAACATAAAAAAGCGTCGACTGATAAAAAATCGTTAGATGAAGTTGTTAAGCACAGCGACGATTCCGATACAATTAATGAAAATGTCTATATTTTATCTCCCGGGTTATTACCTGCAGGGAGACAAATTTTTTATCAACTTTGTGATGTAAAATTACCAGAAATCCAGACAATGTTAAGTCGCTTACCACCAATATTACCGGGTACCAAATGCGATATGAAAAACGGTTGGTTACCAGATAAATTTAATGATCAATGTCGAGAAATCGCGAATAAATACATCGAGGAAGCTGTCCAGAAACAATTAGAGGAAACTCGGAGACAAAATACGATTGAAAATCAAAACCAGGAGAAAAATAATGAAGAAGAAAAAGTTGTTGAAATGTTAGAAATTTCTGACTCAGATACCGAATTATCTGATTATGATATTATTGATAACGAATTTAATTCTGATGATGAACTAAAAATTATTATTAAAGATAATGATGAGGATAGTGAAGAAGACTTTTTTGATAAAGAAGCTGCTGATGATGTTGTTAGAATTTTAGGAAATACATCTAAACAATAAATATTAAATATGTTTTTAAATTTTTATTAATGTCAGTTGTTACAAATAATAACAATAATTATAACAAAGACAAAAGTCTCCGCTAGAAAAGATTTAATTATGCAAAGTAACTTCGACATTTTTGCTGTATCTGAGACGTGGGTTTATCCACACTCAGTGATGGGCGGTGGGTAAATACCCGGCGGGTAGGTATTTCTAAAATGGGTGTTTACCCTGGGCCAGGGTAAATACCCAAACAGTGGGTATAAAAGTAAGAATATATCAGATTCCAAAAAAAAAAATGAAGAGGAAGATGATGAGACGTTGAAGACGAGGAATTGTCAACAGTCAAAGACATATTACACAAGGAAACAGCATTTTTGTTGCATGAAATATTATGACTAATATTACTTTCTCTGAGTGCTGATTTCAGATCTGAAGGCAGATTGTTCGTATCAGCTTCAATTTTTGAGATATAATAATTAAAACGCGTTTTTTAAGAAAAATCTATATTTTATTAAGAAACTCATTAGAAAAACAACCACTACTTATCAAAAAAAATTTCTTTTATAAGATTTTCTTGCTTGACTTGGTTCACGAGGGCTGTTTTTAATGCTCCAACAATAGTCTGCCATCATGTGAGCATTCCAGTGACCCTGGTAACGTTCCTCCATAGTTCGAATGTCTTGATGGAACGGGAACGGTTCTTCACTCAGATTACCAAGATTTTCAGGGAACGGTCCAAATGTCTGTGGAGGAAGTGTACCTTAATGCTCACGTTACATCCAAGCTGCTGAAAGTGTAACAACATCAGCTCAATATGCTCCGCATAGCTTTCGTCCTTTTTGTTTCCCAGAAAATTTTGTACAGTCCAAACAAATTCATTCCAGGCATTTTTTTCAATATCAGTCATGTAACTATTAAAGTTTTCATCCTTTATCAACCTTCTTATTTGAGGACCATCAAAAATTCCGGCTTTAAGTTTCTCTGTGCTCAAGTTATGGAACTTTTTAGCGATGTATTTAAAACACTCACCATCCTTGTTTAGAGCTTTGACAAATTGTTTCATAAGCCCTAGTTTGATATGTAAAGGTGGCAGTATTATACGATCCCTGGACACAAGGGGTTCATTTATCACATTCAGTTTTCCCGGAACCATAGTTTGCCTGGAAGGCCAATCTTTTCTAACCCAGTGCTCAGACTTAGTTCTGCTGTCCCACAAACAAGAAAAACATGGATATTTTGTATAGCCCCCTTGTTGTCCAAGAAGAAAATTCACCATCTTTAGATCTACACATATTTAGCCGCGTGTGAAGTTGGCCATAGATTTTAAACTGAAAAAATGCATGATCGGGGTATTCAATCGATCTAATCGATTCATGTTCGTTCATGCATCGTATTCATGGTCGCCTCTTGCTTCAGATTCGAAAAGAAAATTTTCCTAACCATTTCTTATTTTCCGGGAAAATCGATTTTCTTCAAACTTTCGCAAAATTCGGCTCGTTCGGGGTTTTTAATTGATCTAATTTCAACGGCATCGTATTCCTGGTGGTCTCTTGCTTCAGATTCGAAAAGAAAATTTTCCTAACCATTTCTTATTTTCCGGGAAACTCGATTTTCTTCAATCTTTCGCAAAATTCGGCTCGTTCGGGGTTTTTAATCGATCTAATTTCAATGGCATCGTATTCCTGGTGCACTTTTACTTCAGATTCAAAACAGAAAATTTTCCTAACCATTTCTTATATTCCTGGAAAATCGTTTTTCTTCAAACAATTGGGTTAGAAACGCCCCGAACAGGCCAAAATTTGCAATTGTTTGAAGAAAAACGATTTTCCAGGAATATAAGAAATGGTTAGGAAAATTTTCTTTTTGAATCTGAAGTAAAAGGGCACCAGGAATACGATGCCGTTGAAATTAGATCGATTAGAAACCCCGAACAGGCCAAAATTTGCAATTATTTGAAGAAAAACGATTTTCCAGGAATATAAGAAATGGTTAGGAAAAATTTCTTTTTGATGCTGAAGTAAAAGGGCACCAGGAATACGATGCCGTTGAAATTAGATCGATTAGACACCCCGAACAGGCCGAAATATGCGATTGTTTGAAGAAAAGCGATTTTCCCGGAATATAAGAAATGGTTAGGAAAAATTTTTTTTTTGAATCTGAAGTAAAAGGGTACCAGGAATACGATGCCGTTGAAATTAGATCGATTAGACACCCCGAACAGGCCGAAATATGCGATTGTTTGAAGAAAATTAGATCGATTAGACACCCCGAACAGGCCGAAATTTGCGAATGTTTGAAGAAAATCGGTTTTTCCGGAAAATAGAAAATGATTAGGAACATTTTCTGTTCCAATTTAGAGCAAGAGGCGATCAGGAATACGATGTCGTTGAAATTAGATCAATTAGAAACCCCGAACAGGCCAAAATTTGCGATTGTTTGAAGAAAAACGATTTTCCTGGGATATAAGATATGGTTAGGAAAATTTTCTTTTTGAATCTGAAGTAAAAGGGCACCAGGAATACGATGTCGTTGAAATTAGATCAATTAGAAACCCCCAATAGGCCAAAATTTGCAATTGTTTGAAGAAAAACGATTTTCCAGGAATATAAGAAATGGTTAGGAAAATTTTCTTTTTGAATCTGTAGTAAAAGGGCACCAAGAATACGATGCCGTTGAAATTAGATCGATTACACACCCCGAACAGGCCGAAATTTGCGATTGTTTGAAGAAAAACGATTTTCCCGGAATATAAGAAATGGTTAGGAAAATTTTCTTTTTCATTCTGATGCAAGAAGCGACCAGGAATATAATGCCGTTGAAATTAGATCAATTAGAAACCGCGAACAAACCAAAATTTGCGAATGTTTGAAGAATATCGGTTTTTCCGGAAAATAGGAAATGATTAGGAACATTTTCTGTTCCAACTTAAAGCAAGAGGCGACCAGGAATACGATGCCGTTGAAATGAGATCGATTAGAAACCCCGAACCGAATCGGCCGAAATTTGCGAAAGTTTGAAGAAAATCGATTTTCCCGGAAAATAAGAAATGGTTAGGAAAATTTTCTTTTCGAATCTGAAACAAGAGACAACCATGAATACGATGCCGTTGAAATTAGATCGATTGAATACCCTGATCACGCATTTTTTCAGTTTAAAATCTATGGCTGAAATCTATGGCCAACTTCACACGCGTCATATTTAGCCACTTGTGTTCGTTGTACTTGATTTTATCCATAACAGAAGCTACAGTAGCATATTCTTCTTTGACTGTACTTGAATGTGCAATCGGTATCGAACCCAGTTTATTGCCGTTATGCATAAGTACACATTTTAGGCTACGTTTAGAAGAATCAATAAATAAACGCCATTCATTTGGATCATACTTCTGTACTCCCATTGCTTTCAATAAACCAGAAACATCTGAACAAAAAGCAAAGTCGTCATCTTTAGCAAAGAATGAAAGCAATTCTGTCTCTCGGTTACGATAGTATGAAATTCTTGTTTCCGGGGTTACAAGATTTCTTTGCTTTAATCGAGAAGCTAGAATCTCCGATGCTTTTTTAGCTTTTTTTTTAGAAAGACCAAGGTCTCTGACTAATGCACTGAGGTCTTCCTGATTAAAGGGCTGTTTAAGTTACAATATAATAATTTTTTGTGCCTTGGTGATCTAAATATTAATTTGTTGGAAACTAGCAATAATGATACAATTAGTTTACTTACTTTATTTGATTCTTTACAAATGACTCAAGTAATTGCCGAACCAACTCGTGTCACTGAGTCTTCCGCGACGTTATTGAATGTTGTAGTGTATCTGATGTTTCAGTTGTTGCTGGAAGTGGTGTGTTGTGCTCGGAAATTTCTGATCATGATCTTGTTTTTTGTAAGTGTATGTTTTCTAACTTCTGTCGTAAACCCTTTTACTATTCCTTTAGAGATTTCTCCAATTTTGAATATCGTCAGTTTGCTAGTCACTTGTCTGCAATTCCGTTTGACATTATTTATTCTTTAGACATAGATGCTAAAGTTGAATTTTTCAATAATGCGCGTTTGCAGTTGTTCAATGTGCTTTCGCCAATCAAAACCGTTAAAATTACCAAACCAAGAACACCTTGGCTTACTGACAATGTCAAACTTTTGCAGAGGCTTAGGGATAGAGCTAAATTAAACTATAGAAGATCTAAAACGGACGGTCACTGGAAGTACTATAAAGAACTGCGTAATTTTACAACATTGTGTATACGGCTGTTGAGCCGAAATTCTGGTTCTAGTGCTCTATGGAAAACGCTTAAAAGACTCAATGTCGTTCCCAATTTAATAAACCAGGCCTTTGTGAAAGATGTTCCTCAGCCTACTTATAATGCCTCAGGTATGATAGATTTCTCTCAGAATTCTACTAATAACCTGAATCCTTTCTTTCAATTAACTGGTGTGGATGAGGATACGATCATGCGATTATTAAAGGAAATTAAGAGTAAGTCTTCTGGCGTGGACGGTATAAGTATAAATATGTTGAAGTTGGTTGTTCCTCAGCTTCTGCGCCACATTACACGTATTGTAAATGAGTGCATTCGAGCAAGCTATCTCGAATGCACGCTATTTTGATAACCCTTTCTGCTTAAAAAGTACAGAAAATAAGAATTTTTATTCAAAAAGCATACTGTCAGAAAAGTTATTGTTATTTTAATCCATAAAGAATGCGTAACAGAGCGGCTATAGCCCTCTACCGACTATAGTAAAACGGACTCCGTAATCGTCTTTCTCATGCTAAAAAACCTCCGTATATATAAATTTGAAAATAATCGATTGAAATACACGTGTAATATTAAATAAAAATCAATTTAAAAACTTAATTTGAACATCCTGTATCTCCAAAACAAAACATTTGTCGACCGATGTTTATATAAAGTTCTTGTGTTAATTTTAAAAGATCTATCGACGTTGAAGTTGTGCTACAAAAACCTGAAACACCCTGCATAGTTTGTTTTATTTTAGGCGAATTTTCATCCATGAACATATATTGAGAGTATAACGTTAGAAAAGCTTCACAGATCAACCCTAAAAGGTTGCCAATCTATCTGAAAACCAACAATAATTGAATAAAAAAAATTGATTAATTTTAATTTTATTTATTTAGCGAATATAATAAACATTTTTAATAAATATAACCTCAAACGAAACGTCAATTTTAAGTATTTTGACAGATACTAAAATGCAGGTTAAATTCAAAATACTTTAAAAATTAAAATTGCGTATATAATTCAGGGTTTTACAAGATGCTTTAAACATATAATATTGGTCTAATGAAACTTCATCAAATTTGTGACATTGATTGCGTTTTTGAGAAGTCTGGCTACTTTTATTAATCTCTTTTATAATAGTGTTTAATTTTAATATGAATAGTTTGAATAAAAAAAAAGAAATAAAAATACATATGTATTCTATTTATTTCTTTAAAAATTTAAATTAAAACTAGCCATTATAATTAAACCTCCTAAAAACCTACTAAAAAAAATATTTATCTCTATCTTACAAAACTATCATTTAATACTAAAAAAGAGATATTTTCAATCTTCTTTACATTGAACCAAAATATGTTTTCATAAATATTTTCTTTTACATTTGTGGTAATTGTTCTATTGGAATAGCAAACTTAAAATCTTCTGGAAATAATTGAGAAGCATGTGGGTACATCAATTTATAAGATTGTCTTATTGTCACATCAGCAACACCAGCGATATCTCCAATTTCTTTTTGACTCCTTTTATCTTCAGACGCCTAAAATTAAAAATATGTAATATTTTTATAAACATTTTTTGTTGTAACTTACTTGAGATGCCATATAAATCGCTGCTGCAGCAATAGAAATGGGAGATCTTCCAGGTACAATATCTAAATCAACCGCCTTTTTAGCAATATGTGTTGAAGCTTTTTGCACCATATTAGGTAAACCAAGATTTGAACAAAACCGAGACATAAAATCACCAGTTGTGATCAATTCAACCGATGTATCCAAAGCTTTCAAAGTTAATTTAAAGCACCGGCCAATTTCTTTTTTACTAATCTTACTTACAGCACAAATTTCTTTAAAAGTACGCGGAACACCCTCTTGTCTACATGCTATATACAAACAGGCGGAGGCTTTTGCATCGTTTGAACGCCCTTTTAAATTTTTGCGATCATGCACCTGCTTAAATAAATTATTAGCCCTGTCAACGATTGTACGCGGTAAATTGATTCTATCAGCCATAGAGGCGATTTCTTTGAATGCATTTATTAAAGCACGATCTGAACTGCTCATTGTACGTCTGTTTTGATAACGAGCAACACCAAACGAATCGAATGAGGCGTCACCTCGCCCGGGACCTATCATAGTTGTCAAATCTGAACCCCCTAAAAGTGGGTTTTCTGGTCCACCAACACGAGAAGGATCTACACCATTTTTTTCATTACTAAATGTTCTCCATTCGGAACCAACATCTATTACACTAAAAATTTTATCTTTTATATAAAATTTAGTGTTGAAATTGAGTTATTTACCGATCGCCGACTACCAAACCACATTCTGAACAAATTTGATCTCCTGCTCTATAATCTTCTATGAGGGGAGCATCTGGATGGTGGCTACAGCAAACTTTATTCGCATCGTGTCTGTGCCGATTATAAGTACGATTAAAATTTAAGAATTTTTAGTTATTTTTGTGGAAAAATTTAAGCTTACCTTGAAGAACTAGCCATTTTAAACAGGAAGCGCACTTGTTGGTGTTTAACAACAGATGATTAACCTCGTTTTCAAAATGACATGTCTGGGCATGTCAACGACGTAGTTCATTAGTGTGAAATTAGCTGTGAAAACCGATTTGAAATTTTGTGATTTCAAGAACTAAAATGAAATAGAAAATAAGTACATGCTTATGTTGAAACGAGATGGTCATATCGTTAAGCAAGGTCCGTTGAGTAAACATACTGTATAAGGTTATCCAACTCCATATGAACGCTGTTGTTATGAACGTATTCCCCCGCAAAGAATTGACATTTCTATGTTTTTATTTATACAGTGTATTTCACTTAAGAAGCAATATACAAAAATATAAAGCGAAATATTAACAGTTATAATTTTATTATTGTTAGGTTATCCAATTTGACTCGGTTACCATGGTGATTAAGATCCAAATATTGCAGGTGCTTGTCAAAATTGAAATTGAATTTAACTTTTTTAAAGGAAAAGTCTTATTTAATTGGTTTGAAAGGCTGTATTTAACTCAAAATTGGTTTATCGGGTTTATCTAGAGTATTATAAACAAGGTAAGGGGATTAAATCAAAAAAAAATTTTTAATTTATTTCTCTTAATTAAATCGATTTAAATTAACTACAATTAAGGAATTTGTTGTGAATGCGAGAAAATCGTAAAGAATTCGAATTGTTTTAAAATTAATAAAAATTAGGTTATAATTGATAAAAAAATCGGAATAAAATTTTATTATTTTAAGGTTATCAACTTGACTCGGTTACCATGGTGATTAAGATCCAAATATTGCAGTTGCTTGTCAAAATTGACGTTGAATTTAAGTATTTTTAATGAAAAACACATAATTAATTGGATTTAAAGGTTGTATTTAATTCAAAATGGGTAAATGGATGAAATTATAAGCAAGGTAAGTGGATTAAATCAAAAAAAATTTTTAGATCAATTAGTGATCAAAGTGTACAATAATTTAGGGTTAAATAACAATTAAAACTAGAACTAACACTAGACCTAGAACTAGAAAGTTTTAGGTTTAGCCGGGCGTCTTAGACAAGAACTTCGAAAACGCTGAAGACGCACGGCTAAACCCGAATATTTCTAGTTCTAGATCTAGTGTTAGTGGTCTGTTTGTGGTCTAGTTTTACATTAGCAGTATCACTAGAGCTAACATAAGACCTAGAACTAGAAACAGTCTTTTTAGTGTTGAAAAAAACTTTCAGTTGTCAATGTCAACTTTAATTTTATTATTATATTCGAAATCTTCATAAAATAACTTTTAAACTGAGTCCAACTTTGATGCATTTATCTCAAAAAACCAAAAAATTCGAACTTTCAACTTTCAATTTTAACATATTTGTCATCTTCATTGAAAAACCTTTAAAATGAGTCCAAAGATGACGCACTTATTTCAAAAAACAAAAAAGTTAGAATAAAAAACGTTACACCCGAAGTTAGCAACAATGAAGATAGTATAATATTAATACCAACCTTAATTTTTTTATTTTGTTTTTATTATATTTTTGTTTTTGTGACAAATATTAATATATTTTATAAAAATTAAGAATATGTCAAAATGCCATTGACATTTCAAATCTGAAGTCGCTTCTTATATCTCGAATAATATTGGAATTAAACGTATCATGTTTGGGCTCATTTTAAAGGATTGTTCACGACGCCGAAGATTACAAATGTGTCAAAATTGACGTTGACATTTCTAACCGGAAGTTGACCATAATTTCATTAATATTGAAGATAAATATGTCGTGTTTGTACTCATTTTAAAGGATTTTTAATGAAGATTATAAATATGTTAAAATTGAGGTTGACATTTTAAACCTGANTTAAAAAACCTTTAAAATGAGTCCAAAGATGACGCACTTATTTCAAAAAACAAAAAAGTTAGAATAAAAAACGTTACACCCGAAGTTAGCAACAATGAAGATAGTATAATATTAATACCAACCTTAATTTTTTTATTTTGTTTTTATTTTATTTTTGTTTTTGTGACAAATATTAATATATTTTATAAAAATTAAGAATATGTCAAAATGCCATTGACATTTCAAATCGGAAGTCGCTTCTTATATCTCGAATAATATTGGAATTAAACGTATCATGTTTGGGCTCATTTTAAAGGATTGTTCACGACGCCGACGATTACAAATGTGTCAAAATTGACGTTGACATTTCTAACCGGAAGTTGACCATAACTTCATTAATATTGAAGATAAATATGTCGTGTTTGTACTCATTTTAAAGAATTTTTAATGAAGATTATAAATATGTTAAAATTGAGGTTGACATTTTAAATCTGAAGTTAGTTATTATATAATAGACAAATGGACAACTTTATGGTGTTCTTTTATGATCTATTCTTTAATAAAAAAAACTATTAAAATGAGTCCAAACATGATGTTGCTAGATATCACTATGTTGTATATTTTTATTGCACTAAAACTAGAACTAACACTAGACCTAGAACTTGAAAAATTCGGGTTTAGCCGTGCGTCTGAAGACTTACTTAATTGTTACTAAGTGTTAAAATGTTGTCTATTTTTACTGAAATAGAACTAACATTAGACCTAGAACTAGAATCATTTAGGTTTAGCCGCACGTCTCTAAAGACGGCTAAACCCGAATGTTTCTAGTTCTATATCTCGTGTTCGGAATTCCAGGTACTTCGAGGTACTTGACGATCTCGGATATCTAGATTCATGTTATTAGTAAAATTTTCTTAATAAACAATTTTTAAATTTTTATCAAAAAGTGACATCCAGACTTTAATTGCAAAAGATGGAATTTGAATTCAAAAATGTATCGTCAATTATACCTTACGGGCTCACAATCCGGGAACACACTGTATAGTATATACTATATTCCATACATAATGGGCACTCTGTATATTATATTATACTTTTCCTCCAATGACGTCACGTTTCCTACCTCACCCCGTCAACGTCAATTTATTCGAGTTGGATAACCTTATAACCAATACTCAAGGGACCTTGATCGTTATGAAGAAATGTGACAGAAAAGCGTAGTTATACAACTTATGTGACTTAAAATTTTTTTTTTTGATTCTTGCATGCTAACAATATTATTTTTTTTTAATTTATTCCTTTGAGTCGTGACCCATATATTACGCAATTTTCGTTACGAGCGTTGAATTCGGCCAACGTTTGCAAATTTATTCTTGTTGCATTAAAATTTAATCATCAAAAATTTTTAAACAGTTCTTACACTGCATTAATCCTCCGGTTGACGGGCTGGGTTTGTGAGACCTGCTAAAATCATTTTTTTATTGTCTTTTCAAATATTTTTATGAGAAGGGCTTTGGGAATATTAGACCCAACCTGTGTGTTCTTGTTGCTTTTTTTCATGTAACTTTTTTATCATAAATGATAAAAATTGTACAGGTAATTGATTTCAATTATGTATAAAACGTTCCTGGGGCATCCCCTGCGTTGTAACTATACGGTGTTCCTTCTATTCAGGGGAAGTCCTGAATACAAGAAGTATTTCTTTCGGTTGCTTTTAAATAAGAAGGTAAATTTTTGTTTGCAATCCGGTGAATCCATTTTAGAGTAACCCCTGTTCGTTAATATTATTTCGGAATACTATATAAGTGAAGGTTAAACCGCTTTATGTTTAGTGTTTTGTAAGTTACTTGCACATAACGTTCTCTACAAGCGAATTTATTATTTTCATTTTGTGAAATGGATAGTTACGAACAGAAAATCAATGCACTTACCGATGAAATTCCAAGTCCAGACGTTAGTAACGAATCTGATAGTGAGTCTGTTGCTGAAGATATAATTAATGAACATAGTACTGATACAGAACAAGAAGAACCAGATGAAGAGGACAATCCTTCTACTAGTACTGGTAGTACCCGATCTCAGTATTTTTATGGAAGTGATTGAACTAAGTGGAAAAAGCGTGCTCCTCAAAAACATTATAGTGTGGGTGAATATGTAACCTTGGACGAAATGTTATTAGCATTTTGCGGATGATGTAGCTTTAGGGTTTACATTCCAAATAAACCAAGTAAATATGGGATAAAAGTATTTTCTTCAGTGGATGCAAGAACCTTTTATACATCGCATTTGGAGATTTATGCTGGACTACAACCTACAGGACCCTTTCAAGTGGATAATTCTGCAGCCGTCTTCATTATGAGAATGACCACCCATATTTCGGGAACAGGACGGAATATTACCATGGACCGCTGGTTCACTAGTGTCGAAGCCGTAATGGCGATATTACACGGTTCAACCAAATTGATTCACTTTTGTTGAAATGCGCAGAAATGAAAGATATGCTGTTTATACGTATCCACTAAAATGAACTATTCAACTCACTTTGCGCGGAATATGCCATCGAATCAGGTCGTATGGTTGGGAATAACCTTAATTTGTGATCATCAATTAAGGAGTTAACAAAAAGAAGCAAAGAAATAGAAGGCGTTGGTGGGTACGATCATGGATATTAAGAAGACAGACATTAGGAGCTTCAAACTGTCTATTGAGAGAATTGGCAGAAGAGGATCCAGATTCATATAATCTTTGAAGGAATAAGACAGAATTTGAAAAACTTCTAAAAATGGTTACTCTATAATCCAGAAAGAAAGTACTGTGATGAGAGATGCTTTACCAGCACGAATAAAATTGCAAATCGTCCTCAAACATCTTGCTACTGGTGATTGTTTTGGATCATTGGAACAATAAAATTATACAGAGTACTCCGATGCACAATTTGTTCTTTTATTCTAGAAGTATGTGAAGCTGTCTGGATAGCACTACGAGATTACATCAAGGTAATCAGTGACATAAATAAAACAACTAATTTATATTTGTTATCTTTTATTTTTATTTTATTTCTTATTAATATGCTGATTGCAGCACGTCCGATGTACTATTTTCATTATATTGGTCAAACTGTTGCGTAGGTGTTCGAGCAGTAGGCTGAGTGTGATAAGTCGGCGAATTTTGAGTTAATGTTTCAAATTGTTCTTCAATAATATAGTCTGGTGAGTTCACGGACCAAGATGTTTGAGATGATGAACATGTTGAATTTGCAGATTGA